GGGTTAGGGGGGGTTCATTGTAAATGTGTGTGGTGGTCGACCTTAATTGCGCCTGCCTGACATGTTTTCTTGGGAGATGAAATGGAAAACAAGCCCCCGAAGGACCCCTGTTTTGTTACGAGTGCTGACTTTTAAATGTCATCGTTCTCTGTCTGCTCTTCAGTGCCTCGCGGATCGGGTGGGAAGGCGATGGGGTCTGGGCTCAGTGTCAGTGACCCGAGAATGAGCTTTTTAACAGCGAGATTTCTTAGCTTGCTGTCTCACCATTTGCCACTTGCAAACCCGCAATCAGGAGGCCGAAGCCCCCACCCTCGGGGTGATTTTTAAAAGCTCTGCGGGGGTGCGACATTTTCCAAATGACCATTTTTCTGTCTGACCTTTCTGTTGACCTTTTTGGCGAGTAATTGCAATTTTTGAAATATTCATTTGTGAGTTATGTCATTTGCAAGCATCGTGATTAAAAACACTGCTCGCATAAAGGCGGTGGAAGTATCCAGCCCTTTACGCTTTGCTTACCCCAAATCACTTCTTTCATATATATATATGTATGTGTTCAGCAGAGCTCTTGTCAAAGGAATTATCCAGGGAGAATCTGCAGTGGAGAAAAGAGATCCACACTGCATATAAATACACCTCTATTAGTTGAAGAGAGGGAAAGCGAGATGAAGTGAATAGAACATGGGAGCTTAGGGTAGAGGATGGACTTTCAATAAGACTATTTCGATTTTCAATAGATCTGACAATGATGTCTGCAGGTAGACGGGGATGCGTGCAAGCAGGGCGAGATGACGGCTCTGGCACCTGAGGAATATGAGCCCTATCAATCACCGCCTCCGGGCACAAATGTAATTACACTACAGTTGTTGACTAGCTGGGTAATCTGAGACATCACTGGCCTGCTTTTACTCGCCTGCATTAGGGGATTGCTGGTGCCCATTTACGGCATCGTGTTCGCCGCTCTCTGATGTTTTTTTAATGTTTCTTTCGGGGGGGATGCTGGCATCAACTGAGCCCTTGGCTTAGCGCTGCGATGAGGTTTGAGAGAATGACTCTAAGATTTCATAGCAAATCAATGAGATCGTATTTATCGAGATTAATGCAGACTATTCAATAGGGCCTCTTTTTTTTTTTTTTAAACTGAGGCAGCTCTCAAAGTAAGCATGCACACTTAAAAGCAGGAGGATAAATAAACAATTAATTCTTTTCAATCAAAGTCAATTACACTTTCGACATTTAGCTAAGTGCACCTGCCGTATTCATCCCGTGTTATCCCCCTTGCTCTGCTGTTGTCACTTTCAAAGAAGTTTGGTGTGATCCACAGCGCTGCTTTTCAGGGGGTGGAATAAATATTCCCATTAAGAGGGAGATAATTGATGGCTTTCATCGCCACTGAATATAACAATTCCAATCGGTGATATTTCAATGGCAAGAGTGCTTTACTGTGTTGGGGCTTGAATGATTTATGAGACAAAATGAAATGACACAATAATGAGGGACTTTGTTGTTTCACCTCGCCGTGTGCCTTTGTGTTTTCTCTGTTTAGCTCCAGGGAAAGATAAAAAGTGGTACTTGGATGACTTTTTAAACTGCTAATGGTAGAGATTGTGTCCCCTTACATAAATACGGCATAATGATCTATTATGGGACACACACAGTACTGTGCAAAAGTCTCAAGCCGACCCTCATTTCTTTATATTCCCCTGGGAAAATGGGAAATAGGTGCAGCAATTTATTGGAAAGAACAGTTCTAACAAGCTTGAAAGTCGATATTTGGGTTGACCAACTTTAGTCTTTAAGTCAGCCTGAACTCTCTTAGGCACGATATCTTGTAAGTTCTTCAAGAAGTCTTTGGGAATAGTTCTCCGTGCTTCTTTAAGGACATTCAAAGCTCTTCTTTGGATGTTGGTTGCCTTTTTGTTCGGTTCTCTATCAAGACGATCGCAGGCTGCTTCAATAACATTGAGGTCTGGGGATGCTCGTCTATGACTGATAGCGTTCATTGTGTGTTTTTCTACCAAGGCATGCTTTTGCTGCATTGGCAGTGTGGTTGTGATCATCCTCATGCTGCAAAATACAGCCTATCAGATGCTTTCCAGATGGGATTACATGTTGGATCAAAATGTGACTGTACTTTTCATAAGTATAGACCGCTGTATATGTTGATGATGACTGTTGCCACTGATTTTCAGATGCAGCTCTCGGGTCCTCTGTCAGGTCTTTTCTGGGGGGTTTTCCCTATTGCTTAAGGACATTTCTAGTCCAGTTTCTTCTATTTTTTTAAAGACACACTGCAATCCATGCTTAGATATTCCAAGTTTTCAGTTAATAGCTCTTTTAAAATCACCTTGTTGGTTCAAAACTACAATTTTATTCCTGTGAAACTGTGTTATCTTTGGCATTTTTCACAGACTCAACTGAATAAATTGGAACAAATGTGTTTTTGCAACCTAGCTGATAGCAACAAAGTGCCTAAAGATACAATTTAAAATTCTTTGCTAAATTGTCAGTTGTGTGTAGACACAACACTGGTTCCTGCCTTGAGTTAGATGTGTTTTTATGCTTGAGTGATTCATAGGTCAAGATCTGGGCTGATAATGAATGAAAAAGAAACCTGGGGAACTATTGCTAAAGACTACTTTTAAATAAATCTGGGTCTGTGGAAGCAAATTAAAGAAATGAGGGGTGGCCCAAGACTTTTGCACGGTACTGTATCTGCACAATGTGGATTCCATGAAAGTTCACTGTGAAAATACAGTAAATTAAGTAAATCTACTAATTTACTGTAATGCACAGTAATACAATTATATCCACAAAAATCTGGCAGGGTTCTGTATTAAGCTGTTTGATTTAGGTTATAAAGAAAGGCATTTACTCAAAGTTATTCCACTGGCTAAAAAACACCCACCACTACATTACTTTTAAAAATGTCTTTTATTTTTAAAGTGTTCAGTGTTCCTTTCATATATTTGCATTCGATGGCACGATACCATAGGGAAGACGCGAGAACAAAGAGTTCTGCAACAGATGGTATGGCCCCCACAGAGCCTTGATCTCAACATCAACCAATCCGTCTGAGATTACATGAAGTGTCAGCTCGACATTGTTGCGCCTAGCTGTTTTAAGATATGTAATTAAACATGATAAGCCGGTCTGACTTCAATAAAGCAGCAGTACTGGGAAGAGCTGGTAAAGAAAGAAACGAGCCGTGCGCGGCGGCACAGCGCTGGACGAACTTGAATGTAACTTCCGTCAGAAAACCGTCATTGTTAGTGCTTTGCTTTGTTTCTTGTGTGAATCACAACCAAACAATGAGATGGCTGCAAAAGGGTGAGGAAAAACGAGAGAGCGATGGATGAAAATTGTACACTTCACACATCTCAGACGCAGCTGTTTATTACTTAAGCATTTGCCGCTTCACACCCAAGGTGATGGATGCCATAAATATATATTTAAAACTGTGACAAAAGGTTCAGTTATCTTGGTTTGTATGCTATCACCTATTCTAGGATTTTCATTAGCAAATAACACTGGTTTGTGCTTTACAGACAGGTACGCTCTGTGATCGTGGATTTAAATAACTGTGACTGCTGTGGATCCTTTCATTAATTGTCTTTTTTCAGGAGTTTTCAATTGCGTGACCTTAAAAGTAAGAATTTTTCCCATTTGAGCTTTTTAAATGGAGACTTCTTGTATCTGCAGCAGTTGCACTCGACTTGCTGATGGCGTATTTATGATATGATTGAAGGCTGCGGAGGAATGATTAAAAGGACCTTGTGGTGAGATTATTGTCGCTGTTGTTGTTTCCAAGGTCAAAATGAGCTCGTGGTAAATGGACTGCACTCGCATAGCGCTCTTCTCCATTCACATTCATACATAGCTCTTTATTGTATACATACTGTCACAAACACACACGAGTGACACATTGGGGCCACGTTTGGAGTTTTAGAGATACATGTGGTATCACCCACTCTCGTTTTCACATGTGGATTCACTCCGTGTGCCTCTTTTTCTCCATCTGTCCTCCCTGATGAATGTCTGTGTTCCATGTCATCCAGCGCTGGCTTTTTCAGTTCAGACACTCGTCTGAAAGGATGTTTATAGAAATCCATAACTGCCACAGTCCTCCTGCAGTCACTCAGGCCAATGTTTACGCTTCTCGCTCATTTTTTATTCTCGCTGTAAACACAGAACTTCTCCAGACTGCTCTGCACATGCCGTGTTCGTGCGCGACTGTGAATCTCCGCAGATGTGCGTGCGTGTCAGAGGAAAGGGAAAAAATGGCAACCTTTGGACGGCCGCCTCTCAGCCTCACTGGGGTCTCCCGGCCATTTTGGCTCTGCAGTAAACAGCGGATTTTTGCCAATTTGACTCCCACTTTTGGCTTGAGGCACAGGGCCACCTTTTGACCTCTTGCCTCTCGCCTTTGTGTTGTCTAACTGAAAGGCATTGTTTCACCTTAAAAAACAAAGAATCTGGCGCTTCTTATGATTTATAGATTTTAGTCTAGAGGGAAATTTCAACAATTTACTTGGGCAACACTCTGCTGTGGATCCTTTGCCTTTGTGTTTCTGCCTGTCTCTAATTTCTCAGTTGAGTGCCCATGTAATGAATGTTTATTTTCTCACAGCCAAAAGCAAACACCGTGTCCATTTCCTTATGTTTGATCTGTGTAGTATCTCCGACTCTCTCTTTCGACAGCTCCTGGCCTCTCCGGGGCCCCTGTGTTAGCGCTCATCCTCCCACTCCAAACAAGCAGCGTCCTAACCACCCACACTCTCTAGAAAAGGGTGGCTAACCTCTTCACCTATGCCTCTGTGTCAGACCTTTTGATTGTATTTTCCTGCAGTAGTATACACTTTTTTTAAAAAATGCAGGTCTGAGCTAACCACAACTGCAGGATGAAGTTGCTTTAACACTTATTTGTAGAAATATTTTCACCAGTAAGAAGAAAACGGAAATTCTCACACACTGATTTATTTATTTATTTTGTATTCTTTCAGCCTTCAGTCGAGCACCCATCCCCATGGCGGTGGTGAGGAGGGAGCTGTCGTGCGAGAGCTACCCCATTGAGCTACGGTGCCCGGGCACTGACGTCATCCTGATCGAAAGCGCCAACTACGGCCGCACTGATGATAAGATCTGCGACGCAGACCCAGCACAGATGGAGAACACACGGTGTTACCTTCCAGATGCATACAAGATCATGTCTCAAAGGTACGGACATAAATTTGTCTGAATTGTAGTAAATATTCTTAATCGGCTATATAATTAATATTTAAGAGTTCAAGCTGAATTAAAGCAATCAGCTTTGCCATGAAACTTAATTTCACACTGAGGACTTAACCAGGTTAAAAAGTGATGAAGTAAAAAAAACTTGAGTACTTCCCCGTAGACACCTGTGTTAAAGGTTCCTGCTGTACAAACAAACATGTTTACAGTTCAGGATGAAAATGGTTGTAGCTAATTTTCCTTTTCATAGCTGCATTTTATTTTCTATGAGGCTTAAAATGTACATTAAGGGCTGACAGGTAAATGCAAACACAGGTGGCTATAGATGGTTCTGCCTGTTAGTTTTTAGGTCAGGAGAGCCAAGTAACTGGACTACTTTTCTTCATGGGTGTTGGTTCTGTTTGGAGAACCAACCATTTTAAATACTGTTATGTGACAAATAAAGTGGGAAGTCTAAGAAGTCACATTTGCTGAGTGAAAATCTAGCATCTTATTTGTTTCTTAACACTAATTAGATCCTATTAGTGTCTATGTAATTAATCTATAGAGTGTATGGATGCAGCTTGCTAGCAAAGTTAACTGTTAGTGTTAGCTAAGTGGTAGCATTAGCTTAGCTAGCAGGCTAACTCTACTTAGCTTTTTTCCATCTAAAAGTGGTCACATCTGTCCACAGAAACTTTTATAGCAATGGTCATAAATCTAACGCTGAGTATTCATTATGCTAGAAGACAAAATCATAGATAATTTGGAGGCTACATCCATATTTTATATACAGTCTATGGAAGCTACAGCTACATGTAGCTACAGCTACATGGGAGCTGATATAAATAACCTAAAACCGCCTTCCCACTGAAAGCTTATTAGCCTACTTTGCTAGCTTTCACTTCATTGTGGGTTACAAACTTAACCGTGCAGTGTGTTCTCCAGTCTACTAAACAGGAAGTAGTCAAAACTGTACATACTTAGCTTTAGAACGAAATTACAAGATCCAAAAACCCTCCTACACCGTTTCCAAGAATTGTGGTGGAAAAGGGTCATAATGACAATTGAAAAATATGCATAATAGATGCAGTATAGTTATGTTTTTTTCTATCCTTGAATGAAAAAGAGAATTTAAAACACATTCCCAGTCTATTTTCTTTCTTTTATGCAGCATCGCTAAAAGAAATCCAGGGCCACGATGCAAGGTCTTTTTATATGCACTCATTTTAAAGGTGTATTGTTGACCACAGCAGATGATGATAATAATAATAATGATAGGTTGTTTGGGCTCCCATTCAGAAGACTAGCTTGAGACTATTTGCATGCATGAATATGTACGTGTTCACACACAGGCATGCTCAGAGGAAACAAATTGCTTTTTGCTCTTAAATAATTGCCATATCTTGAAAACATAATCAACCAGTCTTGTGTTAATGAGAAATACTTTAATTCACACCTGAGGATTGCTGATATTTAATAAAAAATTAAAAATGTCTTCTTTTTGAAACATGTTTTCTTAAAAGAGTAGCTTTTTTAATATATTTTACTTACTCCCAAGAATGTACACACTTTATTTCAATACTATTTGGGTCTGGTGTGGGACCAGCCCTTGAGATTTGTTAAAAGTATAAAACAGAGCTCCAAGTTAACAAAGCCACAAAATGAATGCAGAGCAGATTATTAGGGTAGGGTATAGTGCATACACTTTTCTCTGTTATGGATTAATTTGACTGAGAAAACCAGTGAGCCACAAGCAGCATTAACCACAAACCTTACCATACCTGGCTGCTAATCTGTGCCAGCCATAAATTTAAACTGACACAAATCAATGATCATTACAAATAATATGAACAGGTTATTTGTTAAAGCAGAAGAAACATGTGTGATGAGTTTCACTGCCAGAAGTGAGCTTTGTTTTCAGAGTTATGAGCCTGTTGTGCAGAAACCGGGACATGGAGGCCTATTTGTCAGACCAGAGAGCGAGGATGCTCTTACTGTACTTCGGCTTTTTGCGTGTAATAGATTGCTAACATTAAGGCAATATATAAACAAGTTTTCAGTGTTTGAAGCAAGTTGTATGAAAGCAGTGAACGGGGAGCTCAGGGAGAGTGCCGAGTGAATATACATATAGTCAGTCTTTGGTGTGTTGTTGACTTACTGCAGCACTTAAGAGCAGAATAAAAACTCCTATCTGCTATCATTCTAAGCATGGTTTCCCTTGCCTTTGAGGTCAAAACACCCTTGAGCACTCAGAAGCGATGGACTTTATCTAAATTGCTGCTCTGCATTGACTTTGTCTGCCTCATTTTATTTCCAAAGCTGAATGTATGTTCACCTCTACTTATTTCCAGAGCTTTAGTTCCAGATTGGTCACGGCCCCTTGAGAATACTAATGGACGTTTGGGCTTTATCAAACTATTGCTCTTTGCTTTTTAGTTTGGTAACACAGAGTTCAGATAATCAGCTGTGTGAAAAGCAGCCGATGCTAAAACGAGGTAGTTTGAAACATGTTGTCAGATAATTGATGCACCCTGTAGCTCCTTTGTTCTCCGAGCCGCCCACTCAGACGAAAATCCCTGCAGGAATGAATCAACGGGTCCTGCAACTGTCAAGAACACAAAACTAGCATAAAGTAGCAGGGACAAGTGTGTCTTTTTAGCATCTCATTTCTACCGGGGGTGTCTCAATGATGCTTAAAGGGAACTACAACCTGATTCAGAGCCTGGGCACTTTGTCTTGGGAGAGGAAGCTGCTGAGTGGATGAAAGGTGTGGGTAGCATGAATTGGAACTGGGAGGGAGGGTGGCAAAGAAGGGATGTGGTCGTGGCTTTAGTGACACAGCTAGGCATTAGCATGCGGGGGTTAGCACAACAAATGAACGGCCACCTCCGACTATTTCATTGTCGAGCTGTCACAGGCGTTGCTAGGCACCTGCAGCTAAGCTCATTGGGGTTAAAAAGGAAAATGAGCCTGAAACAGAAACAAGCAGTTAGAACAGACAAAGATAAGGCCAAAGCCAGGACAGGGAGATTATGGATATTCATGTCTTTTTATTTTTTAGTTGACTAACTAAAAGACGTTCCTTCTTCACCTCATACTTTCCTGTCTCTGTCCATAGCCTAATCACTGGAAACAATCCAAACAAGGTAATAGTCTGATTAGAGCATTTACATGGTTTCCAGTAACCTGATTTCCCCCTGATTGTGGCTTTCATGAGGTATTTGATTACCGAGCTAATTTGTTAGGCTACAAAAACACACATAATACAGAACTTGGCTGGATTAAAAATATATTCTTTTTAAAGAACCACGAATGAAACATTTGTGTTGAACGGCACTTCTTTTAACGTAATAACTGACTAGTAGTGCTGAAAGTGTCTTACTCTAATCGTAGTGTACGTCTGTTCGCCAACTCCTCCTAGATAACTTAATCAATCTGAATGAAATTTACAACATACACATCTGTATAACTTTTGGGAATAATTTTTAAAACACTCAAGTCCTTAAATTATATATATTGTGTTTGGCAGCTGATCTCAAACAGCTACATAACGTATACGTTACGGATACGCTTATACGGATATTTCGTGTACGTTACACGTACGTTGTTGTTTCTGGATTCGATTAAGTATGTCATGCATGTCTTTTAAATATATGTTTGGCAAACAATGACACTATTAGTGCCTGTGGCTGGTTATTGTCTTATACCATGAATATGTAGCTTGCAAAGAAAAAGAAGACGAAATATAAGCATCAAAAAGAATAACATAATAAAATAACATACAGGTCTGTGTTATAGTACACGAGCGAAGCAAACATATGCAACAGGCCTGTCAAAAACAGCCCTACAGTCAGTAAAATAGGTTATTGGTTAAACTCCAACAGATAAACTAACGGATATCTGACTTCCTGCGTAACCTTTCTGCTAATTATTCAAAACCCCACAGATACGTTCTCATTCTGAAGTATGGCAGACACTGTTTAGACTTCAGCCAGAGTGATGCAATCTATAAGGCATCTTGCAAATATAGACAGTGTTTAATATAAATGGTATTCCCTAAAGCTGCAGTTGTGGTCCTCAAGAACAGCGGGGATCAACACTCACAGCTTGGTGCTGACAAGACCAACTGTGAAGCTTACTCTGACTCACTTAGAGCTGACTTGAGTTTGTTCTGTGTAGAAATGACCACCATCTGTCAGTAAATCAAAGTCTTTGTTCCATTTTTAGAGTATATAACACTTCCTCAAATGCTTTGAGCAAATGGTGAAAGGAGACATATTGGCTTTTTCTTTTATTATCATGTATATACTGTTAAAGTCCTGGACGCTCATAGGAAACATGGCCAAAGTTGCAAATAATAAGACCAATGTCAGGAACCTGTGAAGCAAAAGCTTCTCTAAATGATCTGTCTTAGATAGTTTTCCCTACTTTTGGAACTAAAATGTCAAAGGGAGGCGATACCCATGAAATGGTCATCACAAACACAGCGTTCCCTCCTATTTGTTTTTCAAACCTTCTGTTTGAAAAAATTGGAATGGGCTTTAATAAAAGGTGAAAGAGTAGTAGAGTCCAAGAATAAAAATATAGACCTAGAAACGAGCACAGGGACACTTCCTAAAAAAAATAAATCTTGATGTACAGTACTGTGCAAAAGTCTAAATTCTTTATACTTTGCTTCCAAGACCTGAGCAATAGTTCTGCAGGCCTTTCAAAGTTTCCCTTTGAACATTAGCTCATTTCAGTGCAGTCCTTTTAACTGCAATGGTCTCAGAGGAACGGTGGCTGTCAAGAAGCTTAAGGAAGGGAAGGAAGGGAAGCGGTGGGGGAAAAAAAAGCTAAGGTATGCCAAATTACTGAAAATCAATGGCAACAGGTCTTATGGACTACAGAATTCATTGGACATTTTTTGGAAAGTTTTGCATTTTGGAATCATGTCAAAATTAGAATTGAGTTATGAACGCAGAAAAATACTGTCAGATTTTTGATGTTTGATCTGGAGTGTG